TTCCGCGGCCGCCCTTTCTGTCCTCTTCCCGCTCTTGCACGCTGGCCAATTCGGTTCTCGGTGCCTCCGTTTAGCTCTATCGCTGGTGAAGCCAAATTCTGCCTCGCCGCCGACGATCAACATTGATTATTTCCTTGGGCACGTTTACTCAACGGCTTCGCTCGTCGGGGTGATCATTCTGGGGGTGGATTTTCTGCTTTCTATTGATGTAGGATGACGGCAAGGAGATGTCCAGTGGGGGACGCGTCACGAAGCAGCGCCCTGGGCGGTGGCTCAGGCATCGGGTTCCAGCGCTGTGCGTGCTCGCAGGATCGTCAGTGAGCTCGTCGTCCTCTCCAGTTTTTCGGCCTCGGGTCGGAGGGTCGCGCCGCATCGCCACTGCATCGGCGATGCGGCTCGATGTGCAGCCTGAGTTGCTTCACGCCGACGTCGCCGATGCATCGCCGACGTCGACGATGCGTCGCGGGTGCATCCCCGATGCATCGCCGATGCGTCGCCGATGTATCGGCCATGCGGCGCGATCCATCGATTCCATCTACTTCGGCCCCACGTAGGAGGCTTCTAAGAAGGCGATGTGCGTGTTTCTTTGTTGCCCTCGGGTTTTCTGTTGATCTCCATCCTGCGTGTGCTCACGTCTGCTGGGCTGCGTCATCGACTGGGGCTGCCGGGTTGCCCAACTGGGCAGCCCCAGTCGATGACGCGCGAACGTCTGCTTCTGATGAGTAGCGCTCGGCGCTGACCTGCTGCAGGTGCGCACAAGTTTTTCTCGGCACCTCGGGTGCGCGCGCGGTGGCGCCCAAGAATTTGGAGGCACGTGTCACCAACGAACCTGAGGCATCGAACATGTGAGCACTTGTGCGCTCCTGGAATTCGAGGAACGACGGTGATCGAGGCTGGCTGAGACGGGCCTGATGCACCGCAGGCATGGGCGCGGGCCGGGCTCTGTCCGTTCTGCGGTTCCGCGCGCGGACGCGTTTCGCTGCCGGTGGCGCCGGCCGCGGAGCCTCGGGACTTCAGAAGGCCTCCTCCTTCTCCTCCTCCTCCTCCTCCTCCTCCTCCTCCTCCTCGTTCTCCTGTGCCTCCTCCTCGTCGTCCTCCTCTCAACCTCGTTTTCCTCCTCGTCCTCTACCTCCCAACCTCGTTTTCCTTCTCCTCCTCCTCCTCCTCCTCCTCCTCCTCCTCCTCCTCCTCTACCGCTCCAGCAGGGCACACAGATCGCAGACATCAGGAGGGGCGTCGTCCACACGCTGCGGGCAGCGGGACCGGAGCAGATCTTCGGAGCGCCCCCGCCGTCAGGCTTGGAGAGGCAGATCCAAGCCGCCTTCAGAGCCAGGCAGCAGCGGACGGAGGGATAGAGCTCACAGGCCTCCGACAGCTAGCGAGATCAGGCAGCCAGAGAGCTAGAGAACTGCTGAGGAGCATTGGAGGCAAGCGACGAGGCAAGCGACAGCAGTGAGCCATGACGAATAAGTTCATCCTCCTTCGTGTAGATCAGAGCGTGAATTACCTACCCCGCTTTCGCTTCCAGGCAAAACCAAGCCATACCACGCGCCTCCTCGTCAGGCGGCCTGACCAGTACAGGCTGCAATTTGGCATCGTTTGGTATCTCTTGGAAGCGAGGGTGGTCAAAAGCGAGGTAGGTTTGTTTTCCCCCTAGTAGAGTAAGCGCTGGCGAAGAAGCAGGTGCCGATGCTTTCTTTGTCCCCGCGGTGCCCGTCCCTGGGTCTCTTCCGTGCTTCTCGGCCGCGCGCCGCTCGTGTTCCTTTGGCTTCCGCGGGGCGTAGGGGCTTCGGTCCCTCTGCTTTTCCTTCCCTGGGGGCACGGGCTCCCAGGAGATACCAGTGCATACCTCACGAGCCAGCTAACACTAGGCACGTATATAGGGAGAGGGGTCTCAAGGGAGTTGGGGGGGGGCGGGGGGGAGCGGATCGTTGCAGCACCAGTTCGACTCGAGCTGCGCGGAGTAACCCGAGTCAGAGGTGATTGGCCACGAGGCCCCAAGCATCTGGAGTTCCATAACATTTTTGATTTGATGGACAGCCTCCCCGCTGTAGCGGGCCGAAAGGCTCAAAAGCCAAGGGTCCCGTAGGCGACCCCGTCGTTCCGCCGATCTAACGCGCCACCATCACGCAGCTCGTTTCGCAAAGCGAACGCCAGGCCATCGAGCGACGGATAGCTGACAGCTGCAGAGGTTTCCGAATCCGACTCCGTCCGACTCCTCCTCTGCCTCGTTCTCCTCCTCTTCCTCTTCCTCATTCTCCTTCTCCTCCTCCTCCTCCTGATCCGCTTCGTCAGCAGCGGACCGCTGAGTTCCCCGCGTGCTCGGCATCGTGTCCGGGTCGAACCCCAGGGCTGTCAGAGCACGATCCGGGTCGAGAAAGTCGGCCCCCAAAGAAGGGGTCGGCGGCTGCAGGGGAGCAGCATTCCCGGCAGAGGCCCGAGGAGGGTGCTCGTCCACATCCTTCGAGTTGGGCATCGACCTGCACAGTTCATGTACCTCAGGGTTGATCAGCGCGTCGATTCCATGCGCAGAATGCTCCATAGCTCTACGGAGCAGTCTGCGATTTTGTTTGTTCGGAAGTTCGACGGCACGTCAATTGTGGGGCGTGCCGACTTAGGAGCGGTTGCGCGAACCGCATGGTTATGCGGACCTTTCTGCTGGGGCGATCGTTGGGCCGCACTATGGGGTCACGAATCGTGTGAGGGGATGTGTCGACACGAAGCGGCGCCGGCATGCGGATCCTGGCATTTGGGGCCGTAGTTGGGGTCCATGTGGGGCCACGACACGCTTGACGTGTGTGCCGAAATGAGGCGGCGCTGCCATGCAGACCCTAGCATTTGGACCGTAGTTTGGGGTCCTTGTGGGGCCACGACACGTTTGACGGGTGTGCCGCAATGGGGCAGCGCCGCCATGTGGACCTTGGCGTTTGGGTCTTAGTTGGGGCGTCCTATGGGGCCACGAAACGTGTGGTGGGTTCGTGAAGCCAAGCGGCGGCGTCATGCGGACCCTGGCATTCAGGCGTTCGGTTGGGCTTATTATGGGGCCACCAATCCTATGAGGAGTGATCCGAAAGGAGGCGGCGGCGCCACGCGGATCCTGGCAGTTGAGCCTTAGCTGGGGTTCCGTATGGGGCCACGTTTGAGAGGTGTGTCGAAATGAAGCTTGCGGAGAGTGCCGACATGGGGCGGCGGCGCCATGCGGACGCTTGGGTTTGGGCCTTAGCCGGGGCTCTCTATGGCCTCAGTGGCGAAGTTCGCATGCGGTTCCCCGCCCATTTCGGCACACCCCTCACACGGGTCGTGGCCCTATATGGGGGCACGTGTAAAGGTGGACCCAGATCGCAGTATCTTCAATTGCTTATGGTGGGGTCTTTCGTCCGGCTACTTGTTTTTGTCGAGTGCCCTCGGGGCCACTCTTGCGGTTTTTTGGGGCATCGTTGGGTCTTCTTGGGGGCCTCTTGAGGCCTCCTGGGGGTTTCCTGGTTTCCTGCGGTTTCCTTGGACGTCTCTTCGGCCGTTTTGGGGCCTTCTTGGGGCGCTTCTGAAGCTTCTTGAGCCGTCTTGGGGCGATCCTCGGAGCCCCTTGTGGCTGTGGCGTCTTGCAGCGTCGGGAAGCGGAACACGCGGAAACGCCGAAATTGTTCACAATGTCTTTGAACATCAATGCTTGTGTTGCCCCTTCGAGCTCTGTTGGGAGACCTCTTGGAAGCCTCTTGGGTATATCGGGGGCCTGTTGGACCGTCTGAAGGCCGTCTTGGGCGTCTTGGACTGTCTAGCGGCCTTCGACCCATCCCGCCACCGTGCCTGGGTTGTGGGTTAGAGACCTCTTGGAAGTTCGTTTGGATATCGTGGGAGGCCTCCTGGGGGCCGTTTGGGGGCCTGTGAGGGCATCTTTTTGGGCCTCTTGGGGGCCTCGTGGGGCCTCTAAGGGGCCTCTTGGGCTCCTTGGGGCCTCCAGGGGGCCTCTTGAGGCGGAAGGCTCGAATTGTCGGTTCATGTTCCCTCCTCCTTGGCGATCTTGGGCAACTCTTGGGCCGTTTTAGGGCCCTCTTGGGCCGTCTTGGGGCCTTCTTGGGGGTCTCTTGGGCCGTCTTGGGTCGGTCTTAGGAGCCTCTGGGGCTATCTTGGAGCGTCGGAAGCTCACAACGCGAGAACGCGAACAACATACAAGAACACACGGAAAGTCACTGATATTTGCGTTTGGGATCTCTGGGAGGTCTGCTTGGAGCGCTTGTGGGGCTTCTTTGAGGCCTCTTGGGCCGTCCATGGACGTCTTGGAGCGCTCTCGGGCTGTCATGGAGGCCTCTTAGGCCCTATCGGGCGCTTTCTGGAGCCCTCTCGCCCCGTCCTGGGGCCCCCTTGGCCTCTCTGGGCCGCCTCTTGGAAGCGAACCGGGAGGGTGTCAAACAGTGTTCCCGGATGGTTGCGATCTGGCACCGCCCCAGAGGGGGGGGTCGATTTATATATTTATTCATTTATATACACATGTATGCACAGATCGGCATCAAGACCAGACGTCACAATCATTCACTCACGCTTCCATCCAATAGTCGCCACCGACACCATACCTGGAAAATGCGCGCTCGTAACCCACACCCATGACCCACACCAAATACATCAATAATGCAAACGCGAACACCAGCCACTGGCATTTCTAGCACGTATATGAATCAACATGCGCTCACACGACTCAGACATAACATGCGCATCGTCTATGCACTAGCAATGTTGTAACATTTCACAACGGATAGTCACACGCGGAAGAGTCCGAAACCATGAACAGCAGATCCCAGTGGGGATCGCCTGAAGCGAAGTTATGTTCTGCGTGACAATGCGTTTCAACGTGCTAGATTGATGTTGTTTCTTTCACATGGCACTTTACATTTGAACTTTCAAATAAATTGTGTCGCATGCCTCACTATTGCTTTCCACTGCGTCGCGCTGTATCTCGTTGCGTCGCAATGCGTTGCATTGCATTGCTTAAACATCCCTGCCGTACGCACTTTGGCTCAAGCCATTGCTATTCGGTAGAGTTCCTGCATCTGTTCTCCCGGCACCAGGGCGCGGGCGGCTTCGCCGATATGGGCCACGGCGGAAACAATGTTATCCCGAATGTGCACTTCCGCAAGGTCAATGGCATGATGGGCCCGGGTCGGTGGAACAGGCACATGATGAAGACTTGGCTGGACCAGGCGGGGCGAAAGAAGCGCCGGGCCCTGAACCGCAAGAAGAGGGCCGCCAAGCTGTCGCCCCGCCCCGCTGCCGGGCTGCTGCGACCCGTGGTCCACCCGCCCACCCAGCGGTACAACATGAAACTCAGGCTCGGCAAGGGCTTCACTTTGGACGAGCTGCGCGAGGCCAAGATCCCCGTCAAGAAGGCCATGACCATCGGCATTGCGGTGGACCACCGCCGGCGCAACCGCTGCGCCGAGAGCCTCCAGGTCAACGTGGACCGGCTCAAGCTGTACATGTCCAAGTTGCTTGTTTTCCCCCGGAAGTCGGGCAAGAAGGGTGTCAAGAAAGGCGACACGCCCAAGTCTGAGCTGCAGAACGTGGCGCAGAACACCCTCAAGGAGATCATTCCGATCCCAAAGCCCAGCACCGAGATCGAGGCGCGTGCCATCACCGCCGCTGAGAAGGATGCGTCCGCTTACAAGAAGCTCAAGAAGGCCCGCACGGACCTCAAGTATGACGGCGCCAAGCGCAAGAAGGCCAACGCTGGCAAGGAAGAGTAGAGCAAGCTCTTGTGTGAGGTCAGTGCCTATGCGGCCAGAGAGGTTGTCAGAGGGCGGGGTGCCAAAATGAAGATCGAACACGCTCCATTGCATGGCTCCTGCATTGCTTTCCACGGCATTGCTCTACAGTCGCTTCTTCACAGCGTTGCTTTATTGTCTCTCTCCTCCTCCTCCTCCTCCTCCTCCTCCTCCTCCTCCTCCTCCTCCCCCATTCTTCGTCATTATAAATATCTTCTCCTTGTCATATCCCGAGGCCAGTTTTTAGGGCTGGCCGGACGTTTCGCCTGAGACTTCCTCACAATTCATGACCCTGAAGTTCCAAAATTGGCAATAGTTTCGCAGATGGAGGGCGGGTGGTTTTCAAAATGTGACTCTCACTTTAGCGCCGCGCACATTGGTTTTGAACAAATGCAGGTGTTCCACGGATTGAGGGCGGGTGGTTTTCAAAATGTGGTTCTCGCCTTAGCGCCGCGCACATTCGTTAACAAAAAAACGCCAGAGTTTCACGGATTGATGGGAATCCGTTTTCAAAATGCGGTTCTCGCTTAAGCGCCGCGCGCATTCGTCGTAGAAATGTGCTAGAGTGTCACGGGTTGAGGGCGGCTCCTTTCCAAAATGTGGTTACCGCCGTAGCGCCGCGCACATTCGTTCTAAACAGTTGTAAGAGTTTCACGCCTTCCCATGCTCACAGTACCAGACATGGTGTTTTGGAAGGATTCAGGATTATGAGGGCGCGCAACAGTTACGTTCATTCGCAGTGTTGAAGTCCCAAGAATAGCGTTCTGGCACGATTCACGAACGTCAGAAGCAACAGTTAGGCTGATCCGTGGTGTTGGAAACCCGAGAACAATGTTTTGGCATGCTTCAGGGACTCCAACAGGTATTATTCCAACGAGGCAGCTCCTTCAATGGAAGTGGACCGTTGTAGGGGCCTGTGCAGAGGGAGCTGGGAGGGAGGGCTCCTTCCAACATCGTTGATGACTTTCGGGTTTACGCGGGTCCTCCTCCTCCTCCTACTCCTCCTCCTCCACCTCCTCCTCCTCCCTTCTCCTCCTCCTCCTCCTCCTCCTCCTCCTCCTCCTCCTTCCATCCTCCTCCTCCCTCCTCGCTCTCCCCTCCCTCCTCCTGCTTATTCCCTCCTTTTTTTTTTCCCCCTCCTCCCTCCTCCTCCTCCACCTCCTCCCTCCTACCTCCTCCTCCTCCTCATCGTCCGTGCCTTCTTACCCTTGCCTGCACGCCTGGGAGATAGCTCCCCCGGGCCGATCCCTTTCGAGCCACGGCGCGCCCGCGGGCCGCGGAGGCGTCCGCGGGGGTGGTCTCGCCGACCCTGCCGGCGGGGTGCGCCGCCTCGCGGGTGCGGGCCCCGCGTGCGCCGGCGCGGGGGGGGGGGCGGGGCGCGGCGGGGCGAGGGCAGGCCGCGTCGGCGGCACCCCCTCGACCCGCGGGGGGCCGTGGCGGGGGGAGGAGGGGCGGGGCGCGGCTGGGCCGCGGCGCGGGTCGAGGGCGGGGCGCGGCTGGGCCGCGGCGCGCGTCGAGGGCGACGCTGGGCCGCGGCGCGGGTCGAGGGCGGGTCGAGGGCGGGTCGCGGCGGGCCGAGGGCCCGCGGGCACCCGAGCTCCTCAGATGGGGGGACGGACGTTGGCATGAACGTGCAAGCTCGGAGCTCCGCGCGGATTTTTCTCGCATCGGCGCTGGGCCCCCCTCCCTGGCGCGTGGAGCGCTGCGCCCGAGGCGCCGCCAGGGGTGTCCCGAGACGGCCCTATAGGAGAAGAGCCCGAGACGGCCCATGGAGGCCCCGAGACGGCCCAAGACAGCCCCGAGGGCCCAAGCCGGCCCTCGGACGGCACAAGGTGCTCCCCAGACGGCCCCACGCATGGCCGCAGGGGCGGGATCCGAGGGGACACCCCAGGAGGGCCCCCAGAGGCCGAAGCCATCCATTTCCCGGGCTCCCTGGGATTCTGAGGTTCTCGCGCTCGGCTCAAGAGGCCTCTGGGTGCATCGCCGGGTGGGCCGCGCGCTCATCGTGGGATGGAGATGGAGCCGCGGGCGAGTCGCGCGGCGGCTCGCGGCGCGACGACGGCACGGCAGCAGCCATTCTGCTCGAGCGGTCGGGCCTGAGTGCTCTCGCGTGAGCCGGTGCGCCCGTGTGCCTCCTCCCCCGGCCCGCTTCACCTTCGTGCCACGGGGCTTCCTCTGCGCTTGCAGAGCGTGCCGCCGCCCCCGGGTGCCCGTCCAATGCGTGTCCGCGTCCCTCCCTTCCAGGGTGAAGTCGGGCCTGTCTCCCTACAGGGGGATTTTCGACGGGAAAAAAAAACAAAATATTCAAACAATAATCCAACAATAGTCTGGGGACTATTTTTGGCTTACTTTTTGACTTTGTGGGGGCATTAAAAAAAAGAGTCATTGAACATCCCCCTGTAGGGAGACACGCCCGACTTAATTCCAGGGGTCCCCTGCCCCTTTCGCGCGCGGGCGGGCGGAGCTCCGCTCGAGCCCAGGGCGCCGCGCAGCCTCCTGCACACGCCGTGCCCGGGTCAGCGGTCGGGGCTCCTTCCCTGAGATTGGGACAACATTTAGGGGAACACAAAGTGACATGAGCATAAAAACTCGGAGGTCCGCGCGGATTTCTCGGATCGGCGCTGGACCCCCTCCCTGGCGCGCGGAGCGCGCCAGGGGCGGCGCCGGAGGCGCCGCCTGGGGGGCCCAGCGCCGATCCGAGAAATGCCCTGAGAGTGGGGCAACATTCGACTAGGCTTAAGTCGGGCCTGTCCCCCTACAGGGGGATTTTCGACGAAAAATGAAGAATACCCCAAAACCAATCAAAAATGCTACAAAAATAGTCTGGGGGTATTTTTGGGGTGTTTTTATTTTTCGTCGAAAATCCGCCTGTAGGGGGACACCCCCGACATAAGACTAGGCGTAAGAGTGACCTTTCGCCGGAGTGAGCTCTGGTGCGGGCCAGATGGGGTCCCCGGGTCGCCGAGCGCGATGGGGTGGTAGCGTCTTGCGCGCTGGTGTTTGGTCCCTCCCGCGGCCCCCCAAAAGCGGCGCACCACAGGTCACTCTTACCCAGGGTCAATCTTGCGTGTAGCCGAAACATGAGGCCATGCCTCGGGGGCACACGGTGGAGGGCCAGGAGTCTTCAGACCGGGGATTCCTGATCTGATGAGGGCGGCACTGACATCCATGGCCAAGGCTCTATTGGTCTCCCGCCTGCTTCCAGACCCTGCGTCGCATGCGTTCCTCATCCAACGGTTCGCCCTGGGAGAATGGGGGCCTGAGGGAAACGGTTCTTGAGGTGTTTGGCCGTTTTCGGGCTCTCGGAGCCCTCCACGGGCCCCGGGACTGTTAGAAAACGCATCAAGATGAAGAATTCGTCTGGGGGGAAGGCTCCAGGGTTCAGGGCCCCTTTCCCTCAGGACCTGTTTCCCCCATTCTATAAAACGGTTCCCTTCCTAATGCCCTCACCGTGCATCCGCCCATGGTGCTCAGCCACGCGCAGAGAGGGGTAGGGGGAGGGGAAGGCTTCTTAGAAGCACCCCTGCTTCTCAGAAAGCGCGGGCCTTGTCTGTAGATGAAGGGCCAGCGCCTTCGAAGGAGCAGCCTCCTTTGAGAAGCCTTCCCCCCTCCTCCTAGTTACCCCCTTGTGCGCGCCGCCAACCCATGCTAAAACTGTTCCTTTCCGAGGGTAAGGACGACGACGACGACGACGACGACGACGACGACGACGACGACGACGACGGCGACGGCGACGACGACGTCGGCGGCGGGAGGGTTCCTTCTCGAAGGCCCTCGCCGTGCATCCACCCACGGCAGGGCGGGTCGGGCGGGTGGGCTCGAGCACTCTCGGACGGCCGGGCCGGGCCGGGCGCCCCGTGCAGCCATCGCTTGCACGTGAGAGTGGCCTTCCGCCGGAGTGGCCTTCGATGCGGGCC